AAACAGCAATGGATTTGATGAGTCAGAAAGAAAAGGACTGTCGAGTATGTGTTCGAATCTATATTAAGGTAGAGGGAGGGTAGGGGGTAGGGTAAGCGGAAGGGTAGGGAAAGGTAGAATGCGGATGAGGGGGGGGTAAGGTAAGTGGAGAGGTCGGAAGAAGTAGAATGCGGGTAGGGGGAGGGTAGGGAATTTATTTTAATGATAGCAACACAGACCGTATTTTACAATAATTTTTACTTTAGCAGACTGCGGTTGATAGGTTATACAATGAATAATATTTTTAAAGTTTCTGGGTTTTGTAAAGAAAGTTTTTGCCATTTGAAGCTTTGTAAGAAAATTTCTTGCCGTCTTTCGTTTTGTAAAGATAGTTCTTTCCACCTTTATACCGTATAACGAATAGTTTACTTTATGCAAACTGCGGGTGACAAGTTATACGACAAATGACTTTTCATTTTTTTTAAGGCAAGTATTTGCCATTTGAAGCTTTGTAAAGCAAGTTCTTGCTATTTTTTGTTTTGTAAAGGAAGTTCTTGCTATTTTTTGCTTTTTAAAGAAAGTTTTTGCCACTTCAAACTTTGTAACCAAAATTTCCGCTATTTTAATACCTAAGATACAAAATTTTTATAAAATTTTCCCTATAATTTTTTGCCTAACATACTTTGGACTTTAATATTATAGTATGTTACACTGCGAACTATAATTAAATTTATCGTAAGTGTAATGCGTTCAAGTCTCAATATTAAGTTAGTTATTGTAAAACGTGAGAGAGTGTAATTACTGTCGAGGTGAAAATGTAATTTAACATTGTAAATTTTTATTCGAGCTATTGCTTTGAGTGGGTTTAGTGGTCGTTTAGGTAACATTGGTTGTAAATTCTGTTGAGAATGGGTGGTTTTTCGTTTTGTAAAGGTAGTTCTTGCCATTTTTTGTTTTGTAAAGAAAGTTTTTGTCATTTTTTGTTTTGTAAAGATAGTTCTTGCCATTTTTTTCTAAATCATTTTCACTTTTATGTTTTGCAACCTGCGGGTGACAAGTTATACGATGAATGACATTTTTTTGGCTTTCCGACATTTGTAAGGATAAGTTTCTGCCATTTTAAAACCTGTAAAGAAAGTTCTTGCTATTTTTTGTTTTGTAAAGAAAGTTCTTGCTATGTTCAGGCTCGTAAAGAAAGTTCTTGCGCTTTTTTTCACAATCAATAAAAATACATTTTTTCTAAGTTTATTTACTGTAAACTAAATTCCTGCTAGTTCCATCTAAATACCCTAACAACAGATTCCCACTGGAACAATAACCCACATCGTACGTCAACAAAAGCGTAGGATATAATTAGCAAACTCAACGTAAATTACAACATTTATAATCATACGTGGAGTATGTTTATACATATATATGATTAGAAATGGGTTTTTACATGTTTATGCATAGTGCTTTAACCACGATTAGTATGGGGTTAGTTGTGTTTGTTACGGCAGTAGATTGTTGTTATAGTAGATCTTTTGGGTAGGGGGGAAGGTGGGGATAGGGGAAAGTGAAGGGGGTGGGAAGGTGATTAAAATTTTTTATATTAAAGGATGCTTTTGTAAAATACGACGGTTCTGATTTAAATGGCAAAAACTTTATTTACAGAGCCGAAAAGTTGAAAATGTTTTATTTATGGTATAACTTGTCACCTGCAGGCCGCATAACGCAAAATGTAGGTTGTTTGCAAATAAATGACAAGAACTTTCTTTACAAGACAAAAAATAGCATGAACTTTATTTACAAAACAAAAAATAGCAAGAACTTTCTTTACAAAACAAAAAATAGCAAGACCTTTCCTTACAAAATTTAAAACGGCAATAACTTTCTTTACACCCTGTAATACATTTTTATATTGTCAGGACTGTTTGCCCATATCAATAAAATTTTGTCATTGGATTTAAAATTCGAACAATGTTATAAATTCTTAACTTGAGGCCATTTTGACGACCACAATACGGAAAAAAAGCAAAACGTCAGAGGCGTGGGCTATGAAATACGTTTAATTATGCGCATATAACTGACTTTTTATTTGATTTTTGAAAATTTTGATGGTTGGAAAGAAAGTTTTTGTAATTTTTTGTTTTGTAAAAGAAGTTCTTGCCATTTTTTGTTTTCTAAAGAAAGTTCTTGCCATTTTTTGTTTTGTAAAGAAAGTTCTTGCCATTTTTTGTTTTGTAAAGAAAGTTAATGCTGTTTTAGATCTTGTAAAAAAAGTTTTGGCTATCCTTTGTTTTGTAAAGCAAGTTGTTGCTATTTTTTATTCTGTAAAGAAAGTTCTTGCTATTTTTTCATATTTAAACTAAATTTCGACAAAAAATTGAAAGTATAGACAATATGTTGTTGATATGTCGCTTTTTATCATACAAAACCTTGTATTTTCCATTTCGCTTCTTATTTATCAATTCGGCCGGTGTCATTTTACATTTACACTGTGATGTCATCGTGCTCGGTTTACACTTCTGGCGCGAATATTTTCCACAACACTTTAAAATTGGCTTTTTTAGTGGGCGGCAGGCATAATTGTCGTGTTTGGAGCGTGGAAATTGTTTTATGGTTTAATTTTTAAAAGGAGGATTGGGGGGGGGAAGTTTTTAAATAGGAAGGGGTGGGAAGGGCGGGTGTTAAAAAGTTTAAAAATGGCGTTGGGCAGGGTAAGAGAAGTAGAAATAAAGTTATTGTTACTGCTTATGACTTGTAGAAACTTTTTGCCATTTTCTGTTTTGTAAAGAAAGTTCTTGCTCTTTTCATATAAAATAGCTAATAAATTGAGTTTTGCAGGCTGCGGATGACAAGTTATACGATGACTGACATTTTTTTTTATTTTGTAAAGGAAGTTTTTGTCATTTTTTTGCTTACAAGCTTAAAACTGGCAAAAACTTCCTGTACAAAGCAGAAAATGGCAAAAACTTTCATTAAAAAACCAATGAGTTTATAAAAATGTTATCTTTCACGTAACGTGTCACTCACAGCCTGCGCAACCTTAAATTCTGCTTAATGTTAGTCTAAATGGCAAAAACTTCCTTTACAAAACAAAAAATGGCAAGAACGTTCTTTACAAACTGAAAAATGGCAACAACTTTCGTTCTACCTCATAAAAAAGTTTAATTTTATATTTTGTACTTTTAAACTTCATTTTTAATCCTCGCTGCTCTTTTTATTATACTTTATATCAAAAAATGACGAAACAAAAAAGCTCTCGAATTAATAGTGTTATCAGTGACGTCTTTCCTTCTTTCGCTCTTTACCCCTCTTTCTCCACTTTTCACTCTTCCTTTGTCGTCTTTATCACCTCTCTCCTTCCCCCCCCTTTTTTTTGCTTTTTCTTTTGCCTTACCCTACCCCTTCAGCTACCACAGTTTTACTGTCCCCCTCTTACCGTCCCCCTCTTCTCACACCACTCTTTCACCCCTCTCTTCTCCCCCCCCCCCCCCCCTCTCACATCACCCTTTTACCTCTCCCTTCCTCCACCCCCCCCCCCTATGTTTCTTTTCTTCCCACAAAAAGTGGGGAGAGACCATTAACTTTCATCAAGTACTCGTGTCTGTCTCAATTCCCTCATTTTTAATTCCGAAACGTGAACAAACACGGGGCAAAATGAATGGAAAAAATTGAAAAACGAATTGATTTGTTTGAAAATGAAAATGTTTGTAAAAGGCAGAATTACAAGTTCAAGGAGAGGTTTTGAGGGAAGGGGTGGGGGACGTGTTAAGTGAGAAAGTAGGGGGAAGGAAGAGGCATTGTTAAGGTAAAAGTTTAAGAAGTAGAAGAAGGATTGTAAAATTAAAATGGCAAGATGTTTACAATTTTTGGAGTGGTTTGAAGGCTTAGAGAGATTGTTAAGTGATAAGTTTAAGAGGTAGGGGTGGGTGGGGGAGGGATGGTCAAGATACAACTTTAAGACATAGAAGAGAAATGATTAAAGTACAAGAGAGGTAGTAGAGGACTGGTTAAGATATTTTTTGTACTTAAGGGTTCAAGATGTCATTTCTAATGCTCAAAATTTCAAAATTTATTTAATTTTAATTTTTAAATTACAGTGATAAAAAAAATAACTAAAGTATTGTTTTGTGCAGACTGCGCATGACAAGTTATACGTAAGATTACACGTTTTTTCATTTTTTGTTTTGTAAAGAAAGTTCTTGCCGTCTTTTATATTGTAAAGAAAGTTTTTGCCATTTTTTGTTTTGTAAAGAAAGTTCTTGCCATTTCCTGTTTTGTAAAGAAAGTTATTGCTATTTTTATTTAATAAAACAAATATTTTGATTTCTGCAGGTTTCGAATGACAAGTTATACGATGAAAAATGTGTTTTGTCATAGTTTACTTTTGTAAAGAAAGTTTCTACGATTTTTGACTTTGCAAAGAAAGTTTCTGAAATGTAAAAACAAAAATATGGACTTTTGAAAACTTATTGTTAATGATAATCGAATTGGACTTTTAAAATCGTATTTGGAAATTTTAGTTAGTAGGTCTGAGTAAACAAAGAACCTTATTATAGTATGCGTATCTGTTGCTTGCACTTTATTTATCGCTTAATTTTGTCATGTTTATTGGACTGACATTTCTTTTTCGACTTTTTTTGCTACTTTTAGCATAGTATTTTTGCTTTTGTACTTATACTTGTACTATATAGTACTAGCATTGATACAGCTGTACCGCATATCAATAGTACTGATACTGCCATGGTATATATTATATATTATTAGTATTGATACTGCCGTACTATATAGTACTAGTATTGATGCTGTTGTACTGCATAGTATTAGTACTAATACTGACGCACTATATAGTACTATTACTAAGTACTAAAAGTTGAATTATAGTACAAATACTATAAAATAGTACATCCTGTATTACTCTTTATAAGCTTATATATCTTGCGCTTACATTACGTTACAACACGTTACCTTCGCTTTTTGAATTTTGAAAATCTTTTTAAATTTTATAATTGTTAAAATTCAAAAAATTCTTTAAAATGACCTCAAAAATTCTCTCAGAATCCCCGCCCTTTGATTCCTCGAATCGACCGGTCGATGAGTGGGATCGACTTGTAATGATGAGTCCCACCGTAGCCCAGCACCAACGCAAGCCTGTCACAATGTTGGACAAGCCAGCCAAAATCGAAATAAAAAAGCCCGAGGGTACGTTGAAGACGCCGGACGGACGGCAGATCACGTTGAAGAACAACCAACAAATGAACTGTCTTCGACTGGTCGAAACGTCGGATTGTTTGAGAACGCCGACCATGACGCGAACACCTACTATATCATCGCCATTAAAGACGGCGGCTTCGTTGGTGCACGCCGACGATCTGAACACGCCTAGTCTGTGTTTGAGCAGTGCCACGCCCAAGAATGCGGTTCAGGCCTTTTTGGGGACCACGAGCCTCTTTTGACTGGTAAGGGTGATGCTTAGCTATGGGAGTAGATACAGTAGGATTCTTAAAAAATTTTTAACAAAATTTTTAAAAATTTGAATTATAGGGGCTAAAAAAGGTCTTGACGCCGAATAAATAAATAAATAAAAAAGTCTTGTCGCCAATTTACAGAGCTTTTCATGACAAAAAACGACAAAACTTTTTTGACCTTTTAAATTGTTATTGCCTTGGGCATTGATTGACAAAATAGCTTTTAATAAGATTTCTGTAACAAAACCTATTTTAAATTTTACAATTTTTGCACAACTAACTATTAAAAAGACGAAACGAAAAGTTTTGTCGCCAATTTGTAGTTTTATGAAGGGTAAAAAATGACAAAACTTTTTTTTCAAGTTTTCTACAAGTAAGGTAAAACATTTATGGCTTAATGTACTACTTATGGCTTAAAAATAGTCAAAAAAGCCATAAAACCTTAAGAAAAAAGCTTCAAAAGATAACTAGTTACGTAGGTTGTTATCACTAAAACATTAAAAATTTATTTTTTTTAGTTTTTAAATCAAAGACATTAAAATTTCAAGGTGTGCCAACCAAATTTTAGCTTAGCTTTTCAAGTTTTAGTTTTAAAAATGTAAAATAAGATGCAAAAAGCCAAAATATTGTTTAAAAATAGGCAAAATACGTCCATACTAAAATTTAGTCATAAAAAAGATCAAAACATTGTTGAACAAATCAAATTCAATATTTTTAATAATTTTTTTTTAATTTTTCCAAATTTTAGCGAATATCGAAATTTCCACAGTGGTGTCGCAGTCAACGACAACTGCTCAAAGTACGTTTGATAGATGTAGTATAGTTTTGATGTTGTGGTAGTTGTATTTGGCTTTTAAACTGGCTTAATTGTGAATAGTATTAGAAATAGTGCGGTTATAGGAATTTCGGTACTATATAGTACGTGGTAGTACTGGTCAAGTACTAGTAGTACTGTAAAACTATTAATAGTACTAGAAATAGTATGGTTATAAAAGCATTAGTGTTAAAAGAGCTATGATAGTATTGGTCATAGTACTCATAGTGCTGTAAAAATAGAAATTGTATGGCACACTCTAAAAATTGAAAAAGTTTTTAAAAATTTTAATTTTTTGTAAAATACGTCCGGGAATTACACTTTTTTTAATATGGTAATTTTCAGCAACGACAGCTCAATCCACTGCTGACGGCAATCTTTCCAATGCAGATCCAGCCAACATTCAGTCGAAGGATCACAAAACGAACGCTACATTCACTATCAAAGGCAGCTTTAGCACATCTCCTGGTATGCTTCTTTCTATTTTATGGGAAGGGGGGGCGGGGAGTAATTTTATAAAATAATTTGGGAAGAGGGGGGGTGGGGGGGGTGGGGTGAATGACAAAAACTTTGTTTACAAAGCTAAAAATGACAAAAACTTTGTTTACAAGGCATTTGAATCCGTATTTTACTTGAAAAGTCATGTTTATTCATAACTTTTATAAAATTTTGATATTTTAGGTCTCAGCACGACATTATTCCAATTTTCTCCGATTGTCGAGCATTTCCTTCAACAATCCTTTAAAAGCCCAAATTTGTTCAATGTCGATGGAAAAAGTCAAGAAAATGAAATGGACAAAGTAAGTTTTAATTTTTTTTTAATTTTAAAAATTTTAAAATTCGAAATTTTAAAATTTTAAATTCCAGGACAAAAAACCGGACACCTCCGATTACATGGTACCCAAATGCTCATCCGGCAAATGCTCTACCTCATCCGAACCCACTTTCAGCTCACAACACCTAAATTACACTCAAATCAAGGAAGAACCGTCACATAGTCAAGGACCTCCTGTTGGGTATCAAGTAAGCTTTTTCGTTTTGAATTTTTATTGGTTTTTAGGCCTAGAACTATTATCTTTCTTATTTGATAAAGTAAAGGGCATAAGTTCTAAGAAAAACCTTGATTTCAAACGTTAAAACCATTCATTGACCACCTACTACAATATCGAGAAGCCAAAGCTTGTATCTCAAAAACTAGCGCTTGATTTCTTTTGATTTAGGTATCAAATTGATCCATTTATTATGCCCAATGTTTTAAAATAAGAATCAGCCACTCTTTTTGACATTCCTTGAAGATATACCTTATTTTAAACCATCAAAACACTATTTTTACTGTGAAAATCTAAAAATTGATGTTATTCAACGGAAAAAGAGAAATTTGTTGTAAAATTTGTTGCAAATTAAAGCAGAGGTATTATGTTTTGCAAACATTTTTTATGTAAGAAATGGTCAATAACTATAAGTAAAATAGCGTTAAACTTGATAAGGTCGACTTTTCTTGTTCGTTTCCCCGTTTTTTCGCTCGCAAATCCAAACAGGTTCGAATCGGCTTGGATGCGGAGGCCGTTTTTTATTGAAAACAATTGTAAATCATTAGGAAAAGCTGTGAAAAAGTTTTTTTTTGGCTATTTTTATTTATTTTTTTTATTTTCAGATCCACCAAAGCTTTAGCTGTTCAGTAGTACCCTACTCTGAAACTCAACTATCTCGTTCCTCATTCGAAGCCCAATCCTTTACCAATGTCACACCATCCGGCAGTAATGCACCATCAGCATCATCTTCTCGACCAGGCAGTACTATCAACAGTGGTACAAGCACTTTCAACACCAGCTCCATGAATATCAGCACAACAAACAGCGGATCTCTGAACAGCACCATGAGTGGTACCATGAACAGTTCCATCATGTCTGGTGCTTTCCAGCCCAAAATAGAGCCAATGGACGAGTTTTACCCAATGTCACAGTACCCTGGTACCAGTATGTTCAGCGAGGAGTACTATGATACGAATCCGATGCCAATTCCAGACTCTCATTCGAGTGGTACCAGTCCTGTACCAACCGCGAGAAGGAGGATGGGGAATCGGCCGTCGAAGACACCGCTTCAGGATCGACCGCACAAGTGTCCAATGAAGGATTGTGACAGACGATTCAGTAGGAGTGACGAATTGACACGACATATTAGGATTCATACTGGCCAGAAGCCCTTTCAGGTAAGGTTTGGTACTAGTAGTACCATATTTTGCATTATTTATGCCAAATTTTATTATTTTACCAACATTTTAAAAGCTTTTGATTTTTGCATTGTGCAGCATTTTATTCTTTGCACCGTGCAAAAGATGAAGCTTGCACTGTGCAGAATGAAAAAAGTTTGCACCGTGCAGAATAAAAAACCTTGCACTGTGCAGTAGTTTTATTGTTTGCACAGTGCAAAAAATGAATTGAAAACTGAAAAAAAAATAAAAATTTTAAAAAAAATTATTATTATACCTAAACACTCCAACATTTCAGTGCCGAATCTGTTCCCGCTCCTTCTCTCGCTCCGACCATCTCACAACTCACGTTCGTACTCACACTGGCGAGAAGCCCTTTACCTGTGACGTCTGTGGTCGAAAGTTCGCTCGATCTGACGAAAGAAAACGGCATGCCAAAGTACATTCGAAACAGAAGAACGGCCGAAGACAATCGATCTCCTCTGTCGGCAGTGGCTCTAGCTTGTCCAACCTACCAGGTATGAGGGGTACCAGTATCTTTGAAGAGGCTCTCAGCGCTTTATAAGGCTTTGTACTAAATTGTCTTGATGTTTTTAATAAGATTATGGATTTACAGTCATTTTTGAGGTATACACAACTTATGTTTTGGCAATTTTTATGAGTTTTTTAATGAAAATTGGCAAAAAACCTTGATATATTAGGTTGTTCAAAAACTCTGCGCTACGTCTCAAAGCAAATTTGCGGGGTTAGTGGCTCAGAAGTTTTTGAACAATTCTATAGCTAATAATTTTTGACTTTTTTTAAATTTATGGTTGAAAATGACATCTCTGATGCTGTAACAACACATTTGGCACTTTAGTTTACCTTAATTTCTTTAAATTTTAAATTTTTTGAACAAAAAGTTTGGCGCAAAAGTTTTCGGAATTTTTGAAAATTATTTTAAATTTAATGTTTATGGCTGTTGGCAACTATTTTTTCTTGTTTTTACATTTTTAAGTTCGTTTTTAGCCTTTTTATGAACCATTTTAATTTTTTTGCACCGTGCAGATTTCTTAATTTTTTGTGCACCGTGCAGATTTTTTTAAAAGTGTTGCATCGTGCAAGGTTTTAAAAAATATTGCGCAATAACAACTTTAAATCAATCTTCAGGCTAGCCTAATAACATAAAAATTCAAAGTTAGAAAAGTTGTTGTCATTTTAGCAATTTAAAAATTTTTAAAAAAATACTGCACTGTGCAAACTTTCATAAAACTTTTGTGCCAACTAAATAAGCCTAAAACTAACTTTTACATGTTTTAACAATGTTATTGTACTTTCATGCTAACAATTATTCGTTTTTTTTTCAAGGTTTCGACCAGTAATTGTTGCTTTTGTCACGGCACGGCGCACATTCCAATCAACTGCAATCTAATCGTATCTTTGTTACTACTGCACTGTTTACCGTTTTGTGAGTTGTTACTGTACGTTTTTGAGGTATAGTAATGTTATTTTTGTATTTTTAAAGCGTGTCATTTTGAGTTTGTACTCTCATTTTGAAGCTTGGTACAATGGGTTACGGTAGGTGGTAGGGGTAATGTATAATATGGTGTTACTGAGTTTTGATAAGGTAAAAATAGACAAAATTGGGCGCATAGGTTACTATGAGATACATTTTTATTACTGTAAAATATTTTTTCATTACACCACATATAAAAAGGTTTCTGTAACATTATACCAAAGCCTTCAGATGCCATTTTTAAACTCTGCCATGGCATAAACTAGTCCTTTAACTGCTGTAAATGCTAGTTTTTACATAGTTATTAATAATTTTACATTAAGTTCTTACTGTATGTCATAAAAAATGTCATATGTTGTTGTACAACTCACATCACTGACCTCGGTTACTCTTTCATATAGTCAGCTTTGGTATAACTTTAAGCCACATTATTGATGTCATTTCGCATGATCTATTACTGTTCTTTAACTATATCAAGGTTCTTTGTTTCAACTTTTTTGATGTTTTTTACATTAGTCATATTGCGTTGTTCAACTAATTCTGAGCCACATTTCAAAGCAAATTTGCTGGGTCAGTGGCTAAAAACTTTTTGTACAACATAATACTAAGTAGATTGCTCAATTAATTTTGAGCCACCTTTCAAAACACATTTTTGTGGTTATGGGGGGCTCAGAATTAAATGAACATCTTACTATTGGTTTTTTATATATATTGTTATAGGTTGTTATACCTAAAAATGACTGTTCTCTCTATCATATTAAGTTGTTCAAAAGCTCTGCGCCTCTAATTCCGGGCATTTGATAAGGCAAGTAGCTCAGGATTTTGTGAACAATCTAATATTAGCTTGTTCAAAAAGTTCTGAGCTCTCCAACCCTGGAAATTTAATAAGGCAGGTAGCTCAGAATTTTGTGAACAATTTAATATTAGGTGTTCAAAAGGTTCTGTGCCCCCAATTTTGAAAATTTGCTTTAAGGGGCACAGAATTTTTTGAACAATTTTTGGTTGTTCAAGTAATTCTGAGCTCAATAACCCTGAAAATTCGGCTTTTGAGGGGGCGCAGAACTTTTTGAACATACTAAAATTAATATTCATTAGCTTACTGTAGATTACCATTGACATTCCCTCGGTGAAAATAATAATTTTCTTTAAAAATTTTAATTTTGATAATAATAATTTTTACATTGTTAACTTTTACATTGTGGATTACTGTATTTTTCTAACTTTTACACGTTCTTTTACTTTACAGTAATCTATAAATACAGTAATCCAATTTGACTTTTAATCGCATGAAATGATAACATATTCCTAATATACGTTTATATAATATCTATTGGTCTTCCCGGTTTTCGACAAAGATTTCTTCAAACTTTATTGTTGTTATAGCAGAATTTGAATAAAACTTATTGAATGATAAGGCGGAGTTGATTGTTTTTGATGACATTTATAGGGTTTTATGAAAAGGAACGGTCTAGACATGAGAAACGGGCCAGTTTTGAGCAAAATTTCGATCGTGCCGGGCCTAACATTCAGGCCCGGCTCGTTTCTTATGTCTAGAAGAATCATAATATCGAAATGTAGTCAAGTGATGAGCAAGAACTTATCACAATTTTTTAAAATACGGATGTATCTGCATAAAATATGACAAAAGGTTTCTAAGAAAAAATGGCAAGAACTTTCCTTACAAAACATAAAATGGCAAGAACTTTATTTACAGAACAAAAAGCGGCAAGAACTTTCTTTACAAAACAAAAAATGTCAGGAACTTCTTTACAAAATAAGAAATGGCATAAACTTTCTTTACAACACAAAAATGGTAAGAAATTTAATTACAAAACAAAAAATACCAAAAACTTTATTTACAAAAAAATATTGTTCTCAAAGCGAACAAAGAGGAGGATCATAATTCTCAAAGAAGATTGATAAAAGTTTACCACAGCTCTCACTGGGTAAATATTTCAAAAAAAAATTTATTTAATTGTGAATAAACTTTACATCAAAAGTGAAAGTTGAAGTTTGAACACATTTATTGAGCTTTAATATAAAGCAAGGTCTAATAATTTGGTTGTGTTATATTATACAATGAAGATGACGGGAGAACATGATGAAATTGCTTGTGTTGAAGGTAAGGTACATTGAAACATAGCAACGATAAATAATCATTAAGTAGAAGAATACTGGAAATGAAAAGTTTATATAAAAACAGCAAGAAGTTTACAAAACAAAAAAGGGAAAAAACTTTCTTTACAGGATAATAAATGGCAAGAACTTTCTTTACGAAAAAAATTGCAAGAACTTTTTTTACAAAATAAAAAATATCAAGAACTTTCTTTAAAAAACAAATACTTACCATTATTCTTAGAGCACTAGAAATGTCCTATTTTCCAATTTTTCGTCCAAAATTTCTGCAAAATCATCAATTTTGTCAAGGTTAATACGCATGGAATCGCCCTAAAACACATGCATATACAAGTTTGATGTAAACGTACATTTATTATACATATGCAGTGTTTTTATAAAAGTAAGATCTTTTCGTCGTATAACATGTCACCCGCAGCCTGCAGAACCTAAAAAGACGTTTTTAAGGTGATATAGTCAGCTGAAAGGTAAACAATACTACCCTACCCTACACTGCCCTACCCTACCCTACCCTACCCTATCCTACTTTACCCTACCCTACGCTATCCTACCCTACACTATCCTATCCTATCCTATCCTACTCTACTCTACCCTACCGTTACCCAACTTACCCTACTTGTTTTACTGTATCTAACTCTACCGTATTCAATTGTACAGTATCTGGTTTCAACTTATCCTACACTATAGTATCCTCTCTTACCGTATCCTAAACTAGTGAATGTTACTCTTCCTTATACTACCCTCCTCGACCCTATCATACAGTCATGTCCCTATCTCTGCCCTTGGGCGAAGCCTGCCTAATCTAAATTTTAATTTTAAAATGACCTCACCTCCTATCAAAAAAACATAAGACTTACCACTTTCTTCTGAATATTCTCCTTAATTTGTTCTGGATTTGCTAAGAACATTGCGCTATCGACCGGTAAATCTACAATGATTCCTTCCACATTTATCAACCGTGGCACTTCTTCTGTTGTGGTCGTTTTGATTGTCTTTGTTGTGCTATTTGTTTTTGACGTCAAATTCTTCAAGTCAGGTTTGAAGGATTTCGTGCTATTGAAATTGAAAATATTGTCCAAATCGACCAGATTTAAATTAAGGTTTGCTACACTTGATATTGATGAATTGTCTGTCACTGGAGCTGCTTAAAAATTAATGATTATAATTTAAAAAAGACTGAAATACAAAAAAATTAAAATTTTTAAAGCTCAAAATTATAATTTAAAAATAGGGTAAACTCAAAAAAATAAAAAAAGTTTTAAAAAATTGAAAAAATAACATACCTGTACTATAAATAGTGTAGTCAAAGTACAATCCAATAAATATGAAGCAGAAAACATTAGTTTTCATAAAGAACAACAAGTCAACAGCACAACCGGTCAATAAAAAGTTACGAAAAAAGTATAAAATTATATTTATTAATCACATTTCTAATTCAAATTAAAAAAAAAATTTTTTTATTATGCCCTATGCAACTTTATCTTATTTTAACCTACTTTTCTCTACGCCACCCTATCTTACTCTACCCTAATCTACCCTACCATACTACTTGCTACTCTAAATTGCCTTAGCGTGCCCTACTGTTACACTACTTGCTTTTCCAGATTTTCGCTACTCCGTTTCTAAGCATTACTCTAGCCTTACTTTACTTTTCTTCAAACTTTTTTTCTTTTAATGCTGAGCTTTACAGACTAAATATGCTAAACTTTTCAATTTTAGTTACTTTTGCAAGTTCACAGAGTTAAATATTTATACAAAAAGTACAGAAAAGCATCAAAAGTAAGACCAATTCACAAATTTAAAAAAAAAGTGATTAAAGAGTGTAAAACAAAAGCTTTATCTGCTAGTGTGACTATGCTATAATTATTTGTAATATCAGTCTAAAAATTAGCATTTTTTCTTTATTATTTTTAAAAAATAAGAAAAAGGACCAATTCACAAATTTAAAAAAACTTTTTTAAAATAGTACAAAACCACATTTTTCACCTCTAGTAAACGTTGACTATAATCACATAAGTCTAAAAATGTAAATTTTATTACCAAGAACAAATATACAGACATTTTATACACATTGAGATTGCACTACATATGGTTATGTATCATATTTTACCATCCTTTCAACACTGCCACTTCTTTTTTAACCCTCTCTTAATTTCCACACTTCTGAAGCTGTAGTTTTCCATTTGCTCGACTTCTTATCCTCACGATCTCTCCAGCACCGACCTTGTAGCGGCACTCCGACCACTCTGACCACGGTAGTTCGGGAGCTGGTGGTGCAACTGGAGGTGGTGGTGGAGCAACAACGGATGACACAAGAACATTTGGTTTGTAAACAGCACGGTTATAGCCATTACAGCCGTTTTCCACGACTACAGTACCAGAGTCGGCTGGGTATAGTACCATTGGGTTGGCTGTGACGTCATCTGAGGTTAGTAGGCATCGAGCTGAGGTCGATACTAAGGTTGCTGACTGAAAATGACATTTGTAATAGTATGTGTTTGTGAAATATATACGTATCTAAGGTCCATAAGTATCTACGGTTACTGTATTTTTGATATTTTTGCTGTTTTTGCTTAAAAACAGCGTTTTTAAAAGGTTGCAGGCTGCAGGTGACATGTTATACGACGAAATATATACTTTTTTTAAATAAATAATACTCAAATATTAATAAACATACAAACATTCTACAGACTTACAGTATATATTAAACCTAAAATCTAAAACGTGTTATTATTAGCCATAATAACACGTTTCATCGTACAACATGTCTTCCGCAGCCTGCAGAACCCAAAAACTGCCTTTTTTAGCTAATTATAGCAAAATATGTCTTACTACGTTAATATTCAGCAAATTTTACTTAAAACAAAACATGAAAAATGACTTACTTTACAGTTTGGAGTATTCAAACAGGCCTGCAAACACTGAGCGATCGAATAGGCAGCAGTTTGTTGTACCACATGTCCTCGTACTTGTTTTTGAGCATGAAGTATGAAAATGTCATCGTCGAGACATTTACCGTGGTGGGCTGTAATAAATAATACAATAGTCAACGACTAAAAAAATTTTTGAGTTTATATTGTAGTAGGTACAGCAATAGTTTTTGAGTGCTGCAACTGCTGCAACTTTTACTACAACTTCTGCGACTTTTACTACAACTGAAAGTCAAAGAAGTATTATCTTTGAAGTTACAGTACTATGTCAAGTTATACAAATCAATCAAAAAAGTCTTGTCGTTTTTTTCTACATAAATACATGTAAAATGGCGACAAGACTTTTGACCTCGTCAATATTTTGTAAAATACGCCATTTTTGCTCATGTATATTACCTGGCAGACAAAACTTTTCAGAGTAGATGACATGACTGTTCTCTAACAAAGCCCCAGGACCATGTGGTTCAGCCAATACTGAGTAGAGTTCACATCTCTTAGTCTCATGATGATAATTAATAGATGCACATTGAAGTGACTCTCCTTTAGGGCCCTAAAATAAAAACTATATATTATGCTTATATGTGCTTTAAAATAAAACGGTAAACTTTGTTTTGCGAGTAAAATACGTAGCCGCAATATAATAGTATGCAATATGACAAGGATACCACAAGCTTAAGGCAAGGCAAGGCAAGGTAAGGCAAGGCAAGGCAAGGCAAGGCAAGGCAAGGCAAGGCAAGGCAAGGCAAGGCAAGGCAAGGCAAGGCAAGGCAAGGCAAGGCAAGGCAAGGCAAGGCAAGGCAAGGCAAGGCAAGGCAAGGCAAGGCAAGGCAAGGCAAGGCAAGGCAAGGCAAGGCAAGGCAAGGCAAGGCAAGGCAAGGCAAGACAGGCAAGCTCAGCAAAGCTAGGCCAAGTTAAGCCAAGCCAAAATACTCACCCTATTAGTACTGCAAAGTTGTCCACACATTGGCTGACCCACGCCTTCAAAGATGTGCACTTGACCTGGTTGTGGAGCAGCTGGCAGTACCATTTCATTACCAGCTACCACGTAATACCCTAGAGAAGTTGGACATACGATCTGTTTGGGTCTTGTTGTAGTAGGTGTGGGTGTGGTAGATGCTATGAGCTTGTCCATGCCCAAAAATTGATTTAGCTGACCTGCCAGGATATTAACTATGGCTTCTCGACCGGCCGATCCTGGAGGAGGTGGGGTTAGTGGCTGAGGTACTTTGTGTTTGTGAATTGAGTTGGTATTTTCTTCTTTGTCATCATCTTTGTTATCATTACCATAATCATTTTTATCACTATTATCATTTTTGTCATCGTCACCATTACTTTTGGCATTGTCATCACTGTCCAAGCCTTCAGAATCTCTGCCATTTTCAATGTTATCATGACTATGTACTTCTGGTGTTCTTGTAGTCTTGGCTACATCGTTTCGTGTAGCTTCTTCTTCAGTAATCACGTCATAGTCGTCGGATTGGAAGTCGGTTTTGGGAACGTCAACAGTCTTAGATGACTTTTTGACCGTCTTTGGAGAATCAAAGAAGGAATCAGCATTCAGTTCTATGTCACGTTGACGTGATGCTGATTGGGTCCAGCCTAAAAAGTTAAATTTTTATTTTTTTTTGATGTAACAGTTAAGAATTAAAAAAAATAATTAAAGTACTATATACTACTAACCTTTAAACAAAGTCTTGTCGTTAATTTATATTGTATTACGTGGCTAAAAACGACAAGACTTTTTACCTTAACTTTTTACTTTACTACTTGATCTTACCCTTCCCTACCCTACCCTACCCTACCCTACCCTATCCTACCCTATTTTGACCTATATACCCTGCCATTCCCTGACCTACCTTCAAAATCACTTTCCTCATCATCCAAGCTCTTTTGAGTTACAGTAGCGGCTGTAGTGGTAGATATAACCGGATTAACCCTATTAGAAAATGGATTTCCTGGATTTTCAATGACTTCTTGAACTGTACCTCCATTCACTTCCTTATTGATCACTATACTACCATCTGGTGGGCTTTTGGCAACCTTTTTGGTTTCGATATTGTCTATGAGATCTTCTGGTCCACGTGGCTTCAGAGCGCTGTCGCGGAAGAATCGAAACATTGGACCTGGAAGTACGTGGTGCTATATAGTACTCTTGAGTTATAGATGGTTGAACTACTTAGTAATTAATCATATATATACGTGCTTTAAAACTACAGGTTAAATAAAGGAAATACAAAAGTCTTGTCGTCGATTTACACTGGTTTTCGTGAAAAACGACAAAACTTTTATGCCGGTCTACATATGATAGTACTAACCACTATGTAGCTAAAATAGCTAAGTATTACAGTATTTTACTTTAATATGTCATTTTATAATGGCATAACGACTATAACAAAAGTCTTGCTGTTAATTTACACTGACCTTCACAGTAAAAGACAACAAGACTTTAGTGACACCTAATAAATGCTACTAAAGTAAACGTATATGTGCTAAGTGGCAGTACAACCCAATATTTTGTAGCAATAATTTTAAAATGCAACGTATGTTACCTCCACATTCCTGTGTAATAGCCGTCCTGACATAAAGATCATATCCAACGGCTGGATGGGTTATAGCTGGGACTTTAGTACCATCATGATCGTATAGACGACAACTGTGTTGAAAATGGTCGTATACTACTGATTTACATAGTCCTACCTGAAGTAATCATTATTTGTTTATTGAACTGAATTTTGATTTTAAAAAACGTCATTTTAGCCATTTTTCAAGCTTTGCAGGCTGCGAAAGACATGTTATACGATGAAATGTGTATTTAATTTTAAAGTTTTACTTTATTTTATAAATACTTGTATGTCGTATATACATATACATATAATTTTACTAATAAATTATAGAAAAACTACTCAAACACTTCATATAGCTTATTACTTATAACAATAACTTACTTTAACAGCATTGTTACTGCTCAAAATACACTGATCTAAACATTGATGAGGTGAAACAGAAAATACTTCAATGATAGGTTGAGAATTGTCAATCGACCGTCGTTCAGTTCTGTGGAAGCAGCGTACGTCTGGAAATAGTACATAGTACAGTATAGTACATTTTAAAATTATTCTGTATTTCTTCATAATATGAAGAATCAAATTGTCATTTTAAAACTAATACTTACACTGTGAAGCTCCATGTGAAACTGAAACAAAACTACCAAGTAGAAATACCAGGCGTACTAGACCCATTCCTAAAATATCTACACTGAAACTTTGGTATAACGAAAACCTCGTACAACGAAAAAATTTTTAAAAATCCGTCTAACGTTCTACATTTCATTTCAAACTCTAATATAAGAACACTTTTTACAGTGGGCCCTCTATATAGTAACCAATAAATTTGGCCCCGCCAACTCAGTTTGCACTAAAAAGTCTCTCTGTAAAGCCAACGCTCGTTATAGTGAACACGAAATGTCAGTCCCTTCAGGTTGCTTATATAGAGGTCCAACTTTACAACAAAAAAATATTAGAATTCCCAAAAGGTTCACTATACAAATGTTTTATTTTTGCATTTTTTGAAAAAAAAACACATTCTACGCGTTGTGCATAAAACAGAATTATGTTATAACAAACTAATTTTTAAAAAATACCATTTTCAAATTTAAAAAAATATAAATTTATGCACCATTACAATTATTTCGCCCAGAAAAGTAAAAATAAGCACGGCTTTTCGAATAATCCTATAGATAATTGTTGCCAAATTCCTTGCCCTACCTTTGTAAATAAATGTTGGGGTAAGAAAATGATTAACTTTATAAAAAATTGTCATAAATCTCTTAAAATATAGCTTCATTTTACTACAATCGACTTTGACGACGTTTGGCCTTGGCCCTGAACTGTCATTTCTTTACAAGCCACACCCCCCCCCCTCTTCCTAAATAAAAAAGCTTAAATGTCGTATGTGTATTTCAGCCTCACCTAAGCTTGTAGAACAAACCAAATATTTCGGTCAACTAGGCTCTTGGAGCCTTTGTTTTGGCTACGGCCCTCAGACCGGCTAAATCCGGCCCAGCCCTATACGAGTTTGTTTCATCCCGGCCCTGCCCAGGCCCAGTAGGTTTTCCTTCAAGTCTACTATGCCTTACTTTTATCCTATTAGTAAGCATCAGCTTTAGTTTTAGCTTTAGCAGCCTTAGCCTTATCTGCCCTGTCCATACCCATAGACTAAGCCCTATCCATTGCCCTAGTCCTAGCTTTACTAGCTTTACTGCGTATAACAAAAACCTATTTTTTCTAAACTCTATCTTCGAAACTCGTTATAAAACAAATTTTAAAAAGTGATTACTATTTACTTACTAACTATACGCAGTCATAAACGTATCAAAAGTTATCACTGGAACAAAACCTCATTCCCCGCCGAAAAAACAAACTCCGCGAGCGGTTGGGGGATATTGAGGATGGGAAGCTCGTTTCATTGCGTAACAATTAACGCGATCAATGAAAGTAAGACCGTTTGGTAAATGATAGAGAATCGCCTTTTCCTTTTCGAAGCTCAAGGTGAATATAAATAAATGGTCGACGCAAAGAATAATAGTCACATTTATATGTTATTATATCGCATTACAGAGCGCTCGTTTTTTCATAATTAGTTAGGGCGCAAAATGAAAAAAAAGTCAGTTGAAAGTAAAGGGGGTTGTAAGTTATTGTAATTGTTTTTTTATAAGCTAAACAATTAATTTTTAAAAGAAAAAAATAGGTAAGGCATAGTAAAAATTATTTTAGAGCTAGAGCTAGAGCTAGAGCTAAAGCTAGAGCTACAGCTAGAGCTAGAGCTAGGGCTAAAACCAGAGTTCTTTGGCTTTGGGCTAGGCATAGAGAACGGGCCGGGCTTGACCAAAATATTCAAAATTTTAGGTAAAAGCCGGTCCTGAGCAAACCATTTTTTAAATAAACCGGGCTTAACATTCAAGCCTGGCTGGCCCGGTCTAAGAAATGGGCCTTGCCTGCCTGTTCTCTATGTCTACTCTGGGCTCCGGGCTCTTGGTTAAGACTAGGATTAAGCTATAAGCAAATTCGTGATAGTGCTAGAGCTACGGCTGAGATAACAGAATAGGTAAGAAATTGCTTATGGTAAATTAGGTAAGGAAAGAAAAAAAATATCTTAAAAATTGTAAAATGGTATCAAAATAACAAAAAAAAATTCAAAATTTTTGTTGAAACTATATGCCTTTCTTTAGTGTTTTGACAATGTAAAACACTCTTTAATACGATTTTGACAAAAACACAAGAAGGACATAACATTGTGCTTTTTTCGACCCCTGCGCCTAGACTAATGTCACCGTTTTGGTCTAGACTGTCCCCTTCTTTAAGTTCCTCACTTCTCTAACCTCTCATTTTTAAAAATAAGCCTTACTAGTCGATAAACCTCAATATTTTCGAAAAATATAGAAAATTTTGATCCTGACAATGTGATCAAACCTAATCATCTTCTCCACCTTTCCGCCAAACTGGTTTCACCGAGTTTCTTTGAGATTACGCCAGCGTAATTTATTTTATTTCATTATACGAAAAGAACATCTTTAATCCGATGGCATTTGATGAACTGTCGGCGGTTTCGAATCGGTTTTTGGTCCATCTATTGCATGTTGGTGGTGTTTTTTTTATCTGATAGTATAGTAGAAAAGCCTATTTTACAATAAAATTTCATAAAACACCATTTGACTTTCTTTCGAGACCTATAAAGACATGCGGAACGGTCCGGGTTAAGCCTGACCCAAATTTAGGTTAAGTCGTGTCTAAAAATTAGGCCCGGTCCGGCTCGCTCCTTATGTCTAGACCTACATACGACAAAAAGGCAAAAAAAGTAGTTTTGAAAACAATTTTTGAAATTGCTGATTGCTTTTGACTAGCCAGTAACACACAATACTCTAGCCGAGTCTTTTTGGCCATAGCATTACAAGAAAAGCGTCTAACCAGCCCCGCTAAGAATTATTTCAAATTATTTATATGAATTTTTTGTACCACTAACAGTACATATAAAAATTTTTAACTTGCGCCTTTAAGTTTAGAAATTTAAATATTTGAATCTCCCGCCAATTTGAAAAATTTAGCATTGTGTTGCAAGAACTTTTATCGACTTTCCAGACAAGCTAAGCTTACAAATTTAAAATTGAAGGTTTATTTAAAGCTTTTCTATTAGTATGTCAAAGAAAAAAGATTAAAAGTCAAAAGATGACAAAGCAAATTTGGCATTGTGTTGCAAGTACTTGTTTTGATGTTCGTAATAAGCTAGGCCTTACAAATTAAAAATTAAAGGTTTATTTGAAGCTTTTCTATCATTATATCAAAGAAAAAAGCTTAAAAATTAAAAAATGACAATGTTATAAGCTTGAAACACAATGCCAATATGGGGAGAAATTCAAAACGTAATTTTTTGATCTTGATGTTTTCGAGATTGGCTGGGAATTTAGTACATTGCTAAAGATCTTATATTTACATAATCTTTCTATATAAAAAGTTTGAAGACATTCAGAGCAAAGCAAACTTGGCATTTTTCCTGTTCGCTTTATCGTTACCCTTAACCCAAAACTCACTTGTTAGCTTAAAATTTAAAGTGAACCATAGCTCCGGCTAAAACTTTTTTTGAACTTTTTTAGTTTGCTCTTTTTCAAATCAAAGTTTTTAATTTTGGCATTGTTTAAAACATAAATTTAAACAAAATTCAAAAATAAAACATAATTATTTACTTCAAATAATACTTGACTAGAAGCTACAGAGATCAATAAGTAAAGTAAAATACGTTGGGACGTGCAAACACTCCAAAATAAAACAAATAAAAATTTTGATAAACTGTAAGAATGTCATTTTTGATACAATTTTAATGACCGTAGTCTGACAGGTCTTCTGGTCAATTTCTTCGGTCGAAGCTTCTGTTTAAATCGCTTTTTTAGTCGTTTTAGACGTTGTGGTAGGGCACTGAAATTAATTGATTTTTTTACAAGTTTTTAAATTTTTTTAATAAGGGGGCGCAGAATTAAGTGAATGACCTATAATAATAAATACAAAAAGCTTATTTTGAAAGTTTTTAATTGTAAAATACGATTATTATTTTATTGTAAATATTATCTTACGGCTTGGTCTAACTTACCACGGCTTTGAGTCACATCCACCAACCGGGCATTCTTCAAAACTGCATCGAAGTTCCATTGTCTGAGGTGAAAAGTCATCATAAGCCAAAGAAAATAGTTGGGTCGAAAACTTTTTTACATTTGGCTTTATATTTACTATGCCATCTTGATACAGCAATAGGTAGAATTTTAGAACTGGGTAGCTGAAACATATTTAAATTAAAAAAAAACATTAAAAATAAAAAAAAAATTAAATTTAAATTTAAAAAATTTAAAACCCACTTGTCAACAATAATATCCTGCCATCGATCCAACCGTGGTATGCCCAATTTGCACACTTTTATGACAAAATCTGTGTCATTGTCTATTCGAGTAAATGTGAAATCAACAAGATTAGCCAAAGTGCCAGGAGCTCTTCTGATATCACCAATTTCCAAAATTATTGAGTAATGAGAATTAAATGTAATTAAGTCTGTGGATTTCTAAAAAAATGTGTGTTTAGTTAAGATAGACTTTAAGTAGATATAAAAAGGCTTAGAAAAAGCATGGGTAAGTTAAAATGGTAAAAGAAGGATAAAAAAGGGTAAGGTAAGTAAAAAAAATGAAAAAATAAAGCAATAACAGAGCTAAGGCATGGCAAAATCAAAGCAAAAGTGCAAAGTCAGGACAAAGACAGGCCTACACAGAGCAAAGGCAATGGCAAAGGCAAAGGCAAAGGCAAAGGCAAAGGCAAAGGCAAAGGCTAAGGCTAAGGCTAAGGCTAAGGCTAAGGCTAAGGCTAAGGCTAAGGCTAAGGCTAAGGCTAAGGCTAAGGCTAAGGCTAAGGCTAAGGCTAAGGCTAAGGCTAAGGCTAAGGCTAAGGCTAAGGCTAAGGCTAAGGCTAAGGCTAAGGCTAAGGCTAAGGCTAAGACTAAAGCTAAGGCTAAGGCTAAGGCCTAGGCAGAGCAAAGGCAATGGCAAAGGCAAAGGCAACGGCAAAGGCAAAGGCTAAAGCTAAGGCTAAGGCTAAGGCTAAGGCTAAGGCTAAGGCTAAGGCTAAGGTAGAAAAAAAATTACCCTAGAGTAGGGTAGGATAGGTTACTTTTTTGTGTGTTTAGCACAAAAAAAGTTCAAAACAAGTACACCTTTCATGCTAATTACAACCTATGTCACACCAGATGATATGCTTAATCTGTTCATACTAATGCCCTCTTACTTTCGTCGGAAACAGTTTCTCCACCTGACCATTAAAACTCTGACTAATTGCATGTTTTCGGTAGTCACACCGTGCTTGTAAACCAATATCAGCCCACGTTATCAAGTGTTTCGAGTTGAAAGTGTTGGTTATGATGAATATGTTGACTACCAGTTGGTTGAACTTAAGTTCACATGGTAATAAGCGGGTTGAAGAAGAAAAGTCATTGTTATTATACGTGCAAATAGGCATTTGGATTGACGTGTAGTTGCCCTTTTTTATTTTTATTGTGTTTAGACGCTGAAAATGTATTTATTTTTATAATTGGCCAAGCCTCACATTTGTTCTGATCTTAGTCTGAGCTTGAGCTTAAAAACGAACTTGAACCTGATCTTGAACTTAAGTTTGAGCTGGAAGCCTAAGCCTAAGCCTAAGCCTAAGCCTAAGCCTAAGCCTAAGCCTAAGCCTAAGCCTACGCCTAAGCCTAAGCCTAAGCCTAAGCCTTACGTACGGCGGTTTAAAAAAGCCTAACTTTTCCTTTTTTTACGTACAGCGGTTTAAAAAAGCCTACCTTTTCCTTATCCACCAATGTTGCATATATTTGTCCATTGAATGGTTTGATATTTTCAAATATTACCATAACTTCTTTTGCATTACATTTTAGAATTACATTGCCTACATCAATATTGATTGGAGAGTCGTTTCGTTCAGTTGTATTATAAACAACTTCACTCAAAATTGTCACTAAAGGCTCGGGTGAAACTAAAATGACAGTCTTAAAGAAGCCGTATTTTACACTACTTCAGAGTAAAGTCCTATTAAAAGCTTTAAAGAAGTTACAGTAAAATCTTAATGTATCTAGCATATCTTTCAAAAAAAGTTTTAAAATTATTTTTTAGTACAAGACTTACAGTACAAAGACACAAGCTATACAAACTTACCAGCTAATACCATGACGTAAAAAACTATGAAAATACCATATTTAAGCATAGTCTTAATCTGTTAACTGACGCTCATAGTTCATTGTGTTTTATGTCGCGCGCTTCTGAAAACGACATTAATTAAAAAGTCATAAACTAAAAAAAGGCTAAACATAAGACAGAAAGTAGTCAACTGTTGAAAAAGTCGTATTTTACAACATATCAAGACAAAAAAACGTCTACTAAGCCAGTCTCAGTGGGCTTGGCTAAGCCACAGAAAATTAAAAAAATTCCGGGCCGGCACATATAGACTTGAAAGTAAACGATGGCCTCAGAGGCTCAGCTTAGGTCCATTAACAAAAGGCTTGACTTGTGAAACGTGTAAAACAAAATCTGATTTTAAAACTATTTACCCTAAAAATAATTTTAATTTTTTTAAATTGAAATTGTTAATTTTTAGATATTAATTTAATGAATTTTGAAATATGTAAGAGGCCGCGGTCGACCGGACTAGCCAAATCAAGTTTTAAATGAGCCAGACTAACACTCGGAAGCTCTTCAGCTTAAAACCAAACAATGACATATACAGGTCTACTTTATCTTACAAAATTTACTAAAAAATTTTTTTTTAAAACATAATATAAGGGACGAGCTAAATACATCGGATTGAAAGTATCAGACAAAAAATGCGATTTCTTGTCTGATATTTTCGTCTCTCATTTTCCCGCTATCTTTTTTTTCCTTTCGTTGCTGACGGCAGCTAGAGAAAAAAAAGATCGTTGAAAAAAATATCAGACAAGGAATTGCATTTTTTGTCTGATACTTTCCATCCGATGTATTTAGCTCGTCTCTTATATCTTAACGGAACCTCAAAATGCAACAACAAGTTTTGTTACTAAGTTGTTGTTGATTTTTTATACCCATACCCGTTGATCGAAAAGAACAACAAAAAGAACGTTGTTTAATTGATCTTGGGTTCAACGCGATCAAACTGAACCCGTAAATAATTAGGAAACACACAGTAGGTGTACCGTAAAAACATAAAAATAAAGCTATACTATAAGCAACCACTTAAAATTATAAAAAAAGCATTTTAGAATAAGGTTACAGTGTTTAAACCTCTTTAATTTCAGTGTTGAAGAAATTGAACTTCAATATGTTGTTACTCTAATACGACGCGACACATTTTTCAACAAGATATTCATCTTGTACATAAAAAATTAATAGAAATGTCGTTTGAGGAAGTAGTTGCAATAATCGCAACAAAAAAATCAATTTTTTGTTTTTTGTCATAGCGTCAAAAAATAAAAAACAAAAAGTTTCATGCTACCCCCTCCTACCCTACCCTACCCTACCCTACCCTACCCTACCCTACCCTACCCTACCCTACCCTACCCTACCCTACCCTACCCTACCCTACCCTACTCTACCCTACCCTACCCTACCCTGCCCTACCTTACCCTACCCTACCCTACCCTACCCTAGTCTGCCCTAGTCTGCCCTACTATATCTTACTCTTACACTGCCCTATCTTCTTCTAGCGTTGCCTTAGTACTCTCGTTACTCTATCTTTAACCTATTGTAACCTACTTTACCACACTTTTTCTAGCCTTTGGCAATTTTTTAGTTTTTTCTTATTTTCTCACAAACCCACTTCATGTCTTACCTTGGTTTTCGGCTTGCCTTATCTTGTCTCAACATACCTTAACAACGTAGCTTTATATTACTCTTCTATTTATCATCTTTGCCTTGTCTTATCACCATCTACCCTACCTTTCTCGACCTTAAAAGCAAATTTTAATTTTGAACTTTCGACCTCAAGCAAGCCTATAACAATTAAGACATTACCCCAACCCTATAACAATAATCAGATTACCTCAACCCTACATCAACTTGCTAAATAGTTTATGATAAACCCTTGAAAACCGTTGTGAGATTCAGACAAAGCGGCGTCGAGTGACGAGCGTTTGACACAATAAAAAGTTTGATGATACATACTACTTTATTTATTACTTCCGTTAACCATATCAGCGGTAGTTCATAAATAACGTCGATCACACTTCTGCGCTACTAGTTTATTTAAGGAAATTCTTGAAGCCAAAGAGGGTTGAGCGTCACATGAGAAATGTCATAGTCAACTAAAAAAAATTTTATTTTTATATTATTTTGTAAAATAAGGACCCGGACACTACGTTTTCTTATTATCAAAATAGACATTTTTTAAATTCGCAAAAACAAACTTTGAAAATCGAGTTTTGCTGTAAATTCAATTAAATTGGCTACATGGTGTTGTTGTGGGTTCTGTTCCACGTCATACGTTATCATTTTGCCTACGCTTAAAAAACAATTTATTTTAAAGTTTAAAGGAACAAGTCTAGGGTGTGGTGATAAACATGTCTCTCGTAAATTTACTTATTCTTTGTAACCCTAGCTTTCGACCAAAGCCTTAGCCCGAAGCCCTAGCCCAGGACCCTTGCCAGAACCCCTATCCTATCTTAGAGCTCTAACTCATAGCCGCAGTTCTAGCCCGGGAGCTCTAGCTTAGGGTCCTAGCCTAAAGCCCTAGCCCAGAGTCCTAGCCCAGAGCTATAGCGCAGAGTTCTAGCCCAGAGTCTTACCCTTAATAATGCTTAGCTTTACTTTACGTTTATCTAATCTTGGCTTAGCATAATCTTTCTGTAGGTCAACACTAGTTGTAGTCTAGGCTTAATATTTGCCTTACTCTGTTTGTTCTTACTGCAGCTATGTCAACTGACTTTTTTTAATAATTTCACATTCTTAAATGCCATCTTAACCTACAAACATCAGATGACTTACATATTAATAAAGTAAAAGTAATCTAATCCAGTAAGTAATTGACATTTCTACTTAGTTTCTTACAATTTTTAAGTTACGAAGCAACCACTTTGTGACGTACAATATTACACACTTCACAGTGTTAAGTAAAGGACACAGACTTGCATACTCATCTGAACCCGTGTGTATATGTGGGATGGTTGCATGTAGGTATGAGTATCGTTGGCTCAGTTATGACATATAGTCTTACTAATCTCGTTTTACTTTACAGTAAGTCTAGAGTGTAAGTGTCATACTGTAAATGTCAAAACGTGAAGGTCATGCTATTTGCAAAGTATTGACGATCCTATTTATATGTGTAATGTCTAGTCACAGTAATCGCATTATTGTTGGTTTTTTTTTGGTTACGTAGTATATTTGCATATAAGGAGTAATAACATTTGTAGCAAAGTCTTATTACCATCTTTTACTGTACTTTAAAAAATGTGTAATGGCAGTACTCTATAATTTTTTGCTGCTTTATAACAGATATTTATCATATTCTACTATAATATAATAGATATGATGTGGCTTATATGACATAAATAACAAATTATTTTTGAATTTCAAACGTTTTTTCTATGCTATGCTGACGCTAATGTCTAATGTGTTTTTTCCTTTTAGTATTTGCATAATGTGAATTTTTTACACATTTTTATTAGACCAAAACAAAACCAAAGACTAGGCAGGGAAGAATGGTCAGTTTTAAATGAAGTTTTATTGTTTGACTTTATAATACAAGGCTTAGAACTAGTCAGTAAAACACTTTTGACTTAGGTTTAGTAGGTCATTCTCGCTAGGCTTTTTATTGTTATAATTCAAGGCTTAGGCTTAATGAACTAAGATTTAGTAAACGTAAGATGAGTAGCTTGAGCTTAGTAGACGTAGGCGGAGAAAGCTTATGCTTAGTAGGCTTAGTAGGCTCAGGCTTAGTAGGCTAAGGCTTAGTAGGCTTAGGCTTCTTAGGCTTAGTATGACTTAGTAGGCTTAGGCTTAGTGAGCTTAAGCTTAGTAGGCTTGTTTAGATTGAAAAACGTAAGATCTTTGAATTACTCTCCATAAGCCTACGTAATTTACACTTTTGTTTTTCTACAGTAATATCATCAAAAATATTCTAGCTCTACTTCACCCTTACCTATATGTTTCTCTCAACCTGACTGAACCAATCATAATATCTAATGCCAAACCTTATACTAGTGCTAGCAATTGTGCATTCAATGAGGTCAGTAAGCCGCTTGTTGTAATCCCACTGTTTGCACAAGGTTATATGACAGTTTTAGCATTTGAATCATATCATGTTACTGCGAATATCCTTAGCACATATCCGTTTATCTTATAATTGTGCCAGTGCAAATAGAATCCACAGATCAGGGCGGTCTTGTTTTTGCTTTGGAAGTTGATATTGTGACGTTTTTGATGGTATTTAAGGTTCAATTTTGCAGAAATTATATTTTTAGCTCGTAATGTAGGTTTTGGTTACAATAGATTCGAAAAATTCCTGAAAATTGGATTTAGGGCGTGTAAAGAAAGTTCTTCCTATGCTTTGTTTTGTAAAGAAAGTTTTTGCAATTTCTTGCTTTGGAAAGAAATTTCTTGCCATTTCTTGCTTTGTAAAGAAAGTTGTTGCTATGTTTTGTTTTGTAAAGAAAGTTCTTGCCAGTTATTGTTTTGTAAAGAAAGTTTTTGCAATTTCTTGCTTTGGAAAGAAAGTTATTGCCATTTTTGTTTTGTAAAGAAATTTCTTGCTATGTTTTGTTTTGTAAAGAAAAACAAAACATAGTGTTTTTGCCATTTTACATTACGTACAAAAGGCTTGTGTTTTAAAGTTATTAATGCTAGCCTGAACTGAATTGAGCCGGGTTAACTAACGGTTGAGTATGGGGTACGAGTAACGGTGGGTAAGTGGGTAGAAGTAGTACCCTAGCCTATTCTTAGGCTGACTTAAACTCTATATTTGCTTGGTCCTAGCTTTATCCTTGCTTTTAGCTTACTCTAGCACTAACGTAGCCTTATCCTAGCCTTAAATATCTTAACCTTACTTTAATTTTGACACAGCTTCATTTGCAGCTTCACTATAGACTTCCTTTGGCTTTATCTTAGCTGTACCGTGGCTTTACTACACTACCCTTACCCTAATATGGGTTCTTAGCTTAAACTTTAGACCTGGGTAGCTTTTTTTTAGCCCTGCTGTAGCCTAGC